GGAGGGTTATCCACTAAGGCCAAAACATTAACGCAAAAGAGCAAAACTCTAAACAGATGCCTTAGTTAGGAATGGTTAAAAGCACTAAAAATGTCCCATAGGGGCAACGTGCATGCTTTCAACAAAAAGAGCACAAAGTGCCAAAAAAAATCAATGTTGAAGCACAAGAAAAAGGTTAGGTGAAAAAAAGCCAAAGAGAGTAACCCCATAAAAACCCTATTGATCCTAAATGAGAGGTGTAAGTTTGACAAAGAAAAGATTAGTGGTAACATATTGTTCATACATATAATGAGGCTATTAGTGGTTCACTAAAAATTTATGAAAGGCTATGAAGCTCATGATGGTATGCTTTGCAATATGTGTGCACTTAATGTCATAATCTTGTATACTTTTTCAAATTGAGTCATTTTCTTTTTGTCTTTTAGTTGCTTGGGGAATACATTAATTATTCAAAGCATAAAGCACATATTTCTTTACTTTTAGGTAGTTTATTTTCTTTTATTTCAATCTTGAGTCCTTTTTATTACATTATTGTCCATTTGTCTATCCATAGAGCTAAAAGTGATTTACTGTCCTTAAACCAGCTAAATCTTCATTTATATGCCTACTGTTCTATGCTACAACATTCCTCCAGCATTTTTTTTATGATGCGGCTTTTTAGAAGAGCTTTGTGAATTCAGCTGTTGTATGAAGATAAGGACAAATTTTTATGAACTCTTGGTTAAAGACTAATGGCCTGCAAAGAAGACTCTAGAAAAAGTACTTTGTGTACTTGATATGATTATCCTTTTTTACTTTTGTATTTTTTTTGTCTCCTTTTGAGGAACCTTGTCTTCCCAAGAATTTTGTCTTTTCTTCCCCTATTTTAGTACAAATAAGACCCCTTAGAACTCATTTTATGTATCCCTTGATCAGATTAAGATCTGAAGTTACTTTCTATATCCAAGTTAGTTCTTGAATTTCTTTAAAACATGTTCTTTAAGATATATTATTGCAACATTGCTCTTATCTTTACTTTATTTACTTTCCTTGTCATTTTACTTTCCGCTATTTACATTCATTCATTTAATTTCCATCAATTATATTTATGTCTTTACTTTCTGTTATTTATATTCTTTGTAATTTACTTTTCGTAATAAGTAGCCAATTCCATTAGCTTGGGTGTGAGACAAATGGTAAGATTTTAAACTGAAGAAAAGTGGACGTTCTTTCGCAATAACAACGTTTCACTATTTCATTCAAGTTTTATAGAAACCAATGACAATTTTTGACAAGTTGATCACTTTAAAAGTGTTAAAGTGTCATGCTCTTAGAGATAAGTCATTGAATGCATATCAACTTGAATGATATGAGAGGTGAACTTGAGAAAGTTGCCGACAAGGAGACTTGTCATTTATATCTTTCAAACTAATTAATTCTCGACAGGTTGGTTTTATTTAAAGTGTTAAAATGTGGTAGATTCAGAGAAGAACTACTTAGAGCACACGTCAACTTGAATGATGTAGAAATCGGCTCGATGGAGTGATTTTTAACAAATAGATTTGTTTATCCATGTATTTGAAGGAAACCATTCGTCACTAACTAGTTATAGCTGACTGCTTACTGTAGCATCCCTACGACATTGTCTGTTGGAATTTGTGTTTATGTCTTATCACAAGTCTTGCACCCATGCTACCTTTTTTATATTATGTGATTTCAATAGTGTTAACTCACATCCCATCAAAGTATTTCAATTTGCCATATAAAGTTAGTCTTTCAACTCGAGATTTTGCAACTTAAGATACCTATCCATATGGAATACGATACTTGGTACTTACTATTTTATTACTTGAAAGACGATATTGGGACTAATTGTATACTTGCTTTTGGTCATGATTGTTAAGTCTGTGGGTGTGTAAAAGCTCCTGTCAGTAGCTTAATATATGTTATGACAAGCCTTAGGCTTGGCATCGCTTATGGTTTGAGTATTCAAGTTTCTTAAAGGGACCATGAATTATGGTTTGAGTTATTTAGGATACCCTTCGGTAGGGTATTCAGATGCGAGGTGGATATCCAACATGGAAGATCATTCCTCTACTAGTGATCGGGTATTCTTGGTTGGGAGAGGTGCCATCTCTTGGACGTCCAAGAAGCAAACTTGCATTATAAACTCAACAATGGAATCTGAGTTTGTTGCTTAGTTGCTGTTGGGAAAGAGCTAGAGTGTCTAAAGGATTTGATTTATGAGATTCCATTATGGTCAAAGTGGATTGCAACTATTTCTATTCGTTGTGGTAGTGCTACCACTTTGGCTGAGACTTATAGCCAAGTTTATAATGGCAAGTCTATACACTTGGGTGTTAGACATAGCATGATTAGAGAATTAATCATGGATGGTGTAATATCAGTTGAGTTTGTTAGAACACAACAAAACCTCGCAGATCATTTGACTAAAGGTCTGGCAAGAGACTTAGTTCACAAGTCTGCAATTGGGATGGGATTAAAGTCCATCTAAATCTACAATGGTGAGACACCCAATTCCCTTGTAAAATGACATCAGAAGTTGAATTCAATGTGGAAATCTCATACTTGTAGATTGTAATACAGTTAGTATCATCCCAGGTATGTGTTCAATTCTCCAGTAGGCTAGGCTGAAGTTTATCTTCTTAATAATTTATTTGATAAAGTGTATTGCGGGTAGATGAATTAAATGAATTACCTATGTGATTGTGAAGTGTAGCCGCATTTCAAAAGGTTTGAAACTTGACCTTTATACAATCATGAGAGGATTATGACACACGACTTTATCAACGTGTCATGCTTTATTTTACTAGATTAGTATAGAAACTAACTTGTATGTATTTTATCTTCAGGTATTCAAATGGGTTGATGGGTTAAATCCTTAGTACACCTTGATTCTCAAATATTTGAAACATGTAAAATACTAACATGAAAAATTCAATCGGTTTCGGCATTTTCATTTATGTGCAAGTTTGTTTTGTTCAATTTACTGTGTTTCATGGGTTAACACTGAAATGGGGGAGGATTGTTGATGATTTTAGTTTCACAGGTTGCTTAAGTGAAACTGGAATTAACACGAGTGACAATGAGTTTCAAACTATGATCCAATATAAGTTAGGTGGTGCATAGTGCAATCTTGTATATAAGATGAGTTTTATTTCAGACACGAAGAAAAAGCAGGGGTAAGGGGACAACATCTCTAGCATGGTCTAAGGGGCAGCGCCTCAAAACCTCCATAAAATTTTGGACTCAAAATACATTGGAAAATGTGATCAGAATGAAAAGATACATCATTTCGTGATCAGTTTTGAGGTTCAATCATGTGGTATTCAGACTTAGTAAAATCGACTAATTGGTATCCAAACTTAGAGATCGAATCTCTAAACAAATTAAGTCCAGCTTTAGTTGGTCTTAGTCCTATCTCTGGACATGTATGTTCAAATTTCTAGATCTATATATTTAAGGAACCCATGATCTTACCTATTAACGGTTATAACCGTCTGTAACTGATTCTAACTTCCTAAGAACCGTCATTTATGTTAATCTTACCCATTTTTCGAATGGAACAAGTATATATACGAGATATACACCAGTTTTTTGGGGTTGGAAGAATCTGAACATTCAAAATATTCTCCAGTAATTTTGACTTTCATATTTATGCCTAAATTCGAAAGTATTCTTGAGAATTATCCTAGAGTGAACTTTTTGATATCCAGACATATGGTTGAAATATCAATTCGGAAAGTGAACTTACACAATTTCCAAGCAATCCATATTTTGATTACTATTTACTCTATTTCTGTAATCCTAATTTTCAAATACTCGTTTTCAAAGGGTGTTAGAGAAGAACACATATAACAGTTTGACGATGAAGCGCGCAACACTACCAAAAAAACAACTTTTTCCGGCGGACAAATCCGACGGAAATCCGCCGGAAAAAGTGATTCCCGGCGGATTTGTCCGCCGGAAAAAAGGGCGCCGGTGATTGTTTTTCCGACGGCTTTTCCGGCGGATTTTCCCCGTTTCCGGCGGATTACAGCCGCCGGAAAATCTTCGCCGGTTTTTAAAAAAAATATTGATTAACTTAACAAATAATTATTTTAAAAAAAAAAAAATCCGGCGGAATATTCCGCCAGAAACATTTTTCGCCGGAAAAATAATACTTTCTAAAAGATTTAATTTTTTTTTAAATATTACCGGCGGATAAATCCGTCGGAAATCCGCCGGAAAAAAAATATATATATATAGTAATATTTTTTAAATAATATTTTTAAAAAAACTTAATTTTTTTTAAAAATACCGACAGATAAATCTGTCGGAAATCCGCCGAAAAAGTATATATATAATAATTTTTTTTAAAAAAAATAATATTTTAAAAAAGATCTAATTTTTTTTAAAAAATACCGACGAATAAATCCGCCGGAAATATATATATAATAACATTTTAAATTTATTTTAAAATTAATATTTAAAACATGTTTATGGCTAAGTCATTTATGGCTAAGTCATATAACAGTTTGACGATGAAGCACCCAAGGGGCTGTCATTTATTCAAGCTAAGTAATTTATTCAAGGAGAAAGACCAACTTTATATGGCTAAGTCATTTATTCACAAGGGGCTAAGTCATTTATTCAAGCTAAGTCATTTATTCAAGGAGAAAGACCAACTTTATATGGCTAAGTCATTTATTCAAGGAGAAAGACCAACTTTATACAATTCGAAGATGGAGCAAGGTTGGATGAGCAAAAATTTCAATTGTGTAGTTATTAGTTTTGAATTTTTTGGTTTCCAATGGAAACGGTAAGGTAACACAAGGTTTCATTCACTTATGGTTTCTATTTGGAATTGTATATCTTATTTACTTCTGTTTCAAGGTTCTTATAGTTTGATTTAGATTTTTAGTTCATCTACATTTCTTCATCTAATTTATGATTTGATATGAGCCACCCCAGCCACTACCTGTCATGTGAAATGAAACCAAACACTGACTTAACGAAATGCACACAACATATTAAAAACCCAAAATCGCATCTACAGAAAGAACATAATTCCCTTTAAGCTTCGAACGATGGCAAACAAAACGAAACCAACATAATACAAGAGTATTCTAGCCACCCCAAAGATTTATATATGCACACCACCCATCACTCGACTAACATTTTTATATATCCAACACAGAAACACCACCACATGCAACCCATGCATGATCATGATCACATCACCCTTCACTTCTCTTGGTTCTTTTCACGCTTCACTTGCACACGATACACACCTCCTCGATCTCCTCCACCACCCTCTTCCATATATCCAACGTCGTTGAATGCCTGACCACTCATCTGATCAGATTGCTTCAGTGCCTCAGCCGTGCCGCCCACTGGTTCCACCTCCGCCACCTCCGTAGTCACCACCTCACCACCTTTTCCCACACCACTCCTTCCAGTACTGCAGAGTTCACAGATATATACACCCAATCAACCCAATTACCATTTCAAAAACACAATAAAGAACAAGTCCAATAATCATACCTGTGCCCTCCAGACCCAGAAGTATCCAAGCGTGTACCCTTGGCCTCGTACCCTTGATCTTTCAAATGCATAGTCTCTAACTTCCTCCTTGCATCTTCTTCTGTCTCATTTAATGTACCCTACAGAATATTCGAAAATAAATCATATTTTTTTACAGTCTGAATTCATTACATTTATGGAATCAAATTACCAACCTTCGCAGCATCTCCAGTTGCAGAAAGATTCTCTGTAGTTTCCTCTTTCTTGCCAGTAAGAAAGCCCATAGCTTTCCTTGCAGCATCTGCAGCCGAATCCTTCAGTTCACTTATTTTCCCAACAGTCGTATCCTTCCCTTCCTTTGCTTTATCGGCCGTGTAATCTTTGGCAGCCGTCGCCTTGTCGGCGGTGTAATCCTTTGTATCAATCGCCTTTTGAGCAGCATAATCTTTGTACTCACCCAACTTCCCCACTGTTGCGTCCTTTGACTCTTTTGCCTTTTCAGCAGTATAATCTTTTGCTTCTTTCGCTTTATCAGCAGCATAGTCTTTGTACTCCCCCATCTTTCCCACTGTTGAGTCTTTGGCTTCTTTCGACTTTTGGGCTGCTGAGTCAGCGGTTTCTCTCGCTTTCTGTGTAGTGTAGTCTTTGTACTGGCCGGTCTTATTGGCAGCTTCACCAGCTTTTTGTGCAGTGTAGTCCTTGTACTCTCTGGCTTTCTCCATTGTCGTATCTTTAGCTTCTTTCGCTTTTCGAGCAGTTGCATCCGCCGTTTCTCTGGACTTCTGTTTTGTCTCCGCCGCCTTATCGGCACCGTAATCCTCCGCCCTTCGGAGGGCTGCTTCGTTGTTTCGTCTCTCCCGTTCAGCAGCTTCTCCGCTGACAACCGATGCCTTTTCGGTGGCCTCATGAGTTTTTCCAGTCACAGCGTCCTTGGCACTGCCAAGAGTGCCAGTAACCGTTTGAAATATGCTGCCAATGATACCAGGCCTGTTCTGATCTGATCGTGTCTCATGGTGCTCGATCACAACTTCTTGACCAACCCCTCTTTGTCGGTTGACATCTTGGAGCTCATCGGCGGCGGCCCTGGCGGCCTCCTCCGCCCTCACTTCCTTTCCTCTTACATCTTCCCTTGCCTTTTCCTGTTGTGAAGCCATTTTTGATGCCAAAATCAATGGTTACACTCTTAAAACACCTGGACTGAGAATCAAAAGAAATTCAAGCTTAGGCTTCTGTGGGTGGTTTTAAGGATAGAATCTGAGAGTCGTGAGCGAAAGAGATGGGAATATAAGGGGAATGAAAGATCTTAATACTTGTGAAGTAGGCGACGTGGGAGGTAGAGTTCTTGGCAGGTGGGGTGATGGTGTGTGTTGATTGGGAGACATGTGGCATGGCAGGGAGAGACGTGTAGCACATGCAGAGCTCACATACGTAGACGAATTCACACACACTCTATTTTCGGTTATTATGGGGTCGTAAACCTAAAAAATGTTCTATAAAACGATTATTCGGAAATATTATCTTACACGATGAATATGATACGGATTCAAAATTTTATCCAGCAAAAGTAATTGAAGGATCAAAAATCTTACTTGATAAGTGAAGAAAATGATTCTTGTTATTATTAATGTTTACCGGATAAATTATTATATACGATACAATTTTGATAGATTAAAATCTTAATTGATAATTAAGTGATAATATTGAATTTTACACTACTAGAAAACCAGATATTAGCGACGAACATCAACGAGAAAAAACAATCTCTCGCAGATTAGCGAGGGATTGTCCAGAAACTGAATCCCTAGCTGATCTGTGAGGGATTAACGAAGGAATAGCCAAAAACTGAATCCATCGCTGATCCCTCGTAGATCAGCGAGGGATTGAGTTTCTGGATAATCTCTCGCTGATCTCTCGTTGATCTGCGAGGGATCAGCGAGGGAATAGCCAAAAAACTGAATCCCTCACTGATCTCTCGCAGATCAGCGAGGGATTCAGTTCCTGGACAATCCTTCGCTGCGAGGGATTGTCCAGAAACTGATTTTCGACAATTTTTTTATTTTATAACTACAAATTTAATTACTTATTAATTTTTAATTATTTATTATTAAATTTCCAATTGTTTGTTATTTATTAGAATATTACAAAAATTAATTAATTAATTAAACCAAAATAAAGCCCATTAAACCGAATAAAGCCCATTAAGACTCATTAAACCGAATAAAGTTCATTAAGGCCCGATACACTCAAAATAGTCATGTAAATGGATTAAGGCCCAATAAAATTGAACAAAACCCAGTTAAATGGGTTAAGGCCCAATAAAACCGAGAATGAATATACGAATATATAAATATATAAATATGTACATGTAACACATAAAAATCAAGAAAATCAAGACAATTCCCTCGCTGATCCCTTCCTGATCAGCGAGGGATCAGCGAGGGAATTGGCAAAAATCAGATTCTCTCGCTGATCCCTCACTGATCAGCGAGGGATCAGCGAGAGTATTGACAAAAATCAGATTCCCTTGCTGATCCCTCACTGATCAGCAATGGAACATACAAAAATCAGATTCCCTCGCTGATCCCTCACTGATTAGCGAGGGATCAGTGAGGGAATCTGATTTTCGCCATTTTTTTCATTTTACAACTACAAATTTAATTACTTATTAATTTTTAATTATTGATTATTAAATTTCCAATTATTTATTAATTTTTAGAATATTACAAAAAATAATTAATAAAACCGAATAAAGCCCATTGAGGCCCATTAAACCGAATAAAGTCAAATAAAACTGAATAAAGTTCATTAAAACCCGATAAAATCAATGAAGCCCGATAAATGGATTAAGGCTCAATAAAACCGAACAAAACCTAGTTAAATGGGTTAAGGCACAATAAAGCAGAATAAATCCGCATATAACACACACACACACACACTATCTATACATTCACATATGTTTAAACAATATACATCGATCCGAGAGATGTATGGCAACCAGTACACATCGTATATATATGTATATAACATTGACCGACGGGTATATACATATAACACATACAACGTCGTGTAAACATATGTATATAACACGGGCTGACAGACATATATAGTTATAACACATGCACATGTATACATACGCTACCTAAATATATAAATGTGTACATGTAACACATAAAAATCAAGAAAATCAAGAAAATAGGACAATTCCCTCGCTGATCCCTCGCTGATCAACGAGGGATCAGCGAGGGACTTGGCAAAAATTAGTTTCCCTCGCTGATCCCTCGCAGATCAGCGAGGGAATTGTCAAAAATTAGTTTCCCTCGCTGATTTGCGTGAGATTTTCCTATTTTCTTGATTTTTTCGATTTTTATGTGTTATATGTAGATATTATTATGTGTTGGTGTCGTATGTATACATGTATATGTGTTGTTTGTGTGTGTGTGTATATATATATATATATATATATATATATATTGTGGTTGCTAACCGCAATTTGTATTATATGTACACATGTATTTATTCGGTTTTATTGGGCCAAGGGACTTTATTAGGTTTATTGGGCCTTATGAGATTATTCGGTTTTATTGGACCTTAATCAATTTATCGGGCCTTAATGGCTTTATTCGGTTTTATTGGGCCTTAATGGACTTTATTAGGTTTTATTGGGCCTTAATGAGATTTATTTGGTTTATTGGGCCTTAATGGGATTTACTTGGTTTATCGGGCCTTAATGAGATTTATTCTGTTTTATTGGGCCTTAATCCATTTATCGGGTCTTAATGGGCTTCATTCGGTTTTATTGGGTCTTAATGGGCTTCATTCGGTTTTATTAGGCCTTAATGGGCTTCATTCGGTTTATTGGGCTTTAATGGAATTTATTCGGTTTAATGTAATAATTAATAATTAATTAAATTTTTAGTTATTAATTAAAAAAGTAATTAAATAAATTAAATAATTAAAAAAGAAATACCTTTTTAGCGACGGAATTTCCCTCGGAAATCCGTCGCTGATCCCTACCTATAAATAAGACCCATCTAGGTCACGCCTCCATTATCATATTTACTAATTACCTTCTTCGAATCGAGCATCCATCTAGGTCACGTCTATGAGGAAGACCAAGTCGCCGACCCCTCGTCGCCAACCGCCACCGTCGCCTTCCCGTCGCCGACCACCATCGCTTCCCGTCGCCGACCACCACTGCCCGTCGCCGACCACTGCCGTCTCCATTTCCGACCGTCGTCGACCACTGCCGTCTCCATTTCCGACCACCATGGCCTTCCCACCACTGCCGTCTCCATTTCCGACCACCACTGCCTTCCGACCACCACCGCCGTCTGTGTTTACTTAGGTTTGTTTTGTTTTAATGATTTTTTCGCTTTTGTTTCTTAAACATATGTGTTTTAATGTTACTGTTTCTTAATAATCTGTTTTGTACAACAGATTAAGAATCTGTTTATAATTAAGAATCTCCATTTCGATGCATTTCTAATTCAATCAACAAAAATGTGATGATTTATAATCTGTTTAGAATTAAGAATCTTATTGTCTGAACTTTTGAAACATGCTCATATTATTAAGTTGTCCATTTTATTTATATTTTATTTAATATATCAAGAATCAAGTTTTACTACAGATTTGCATAAAATGTGATGATTTCAAGAGGGTTTTTTTGTGTAGAAATGAAGTTGGAGGTTAAGATCATAAGAACAAACCCATGAAGCAAAATGAAAAAAAGGGTATATGGAGAACACATGAGTCTTGATTTCTTGGAAGAGACCCACCTTCCTTCCATTAGGGTAGTGACCTCCATGTAAATTTTCCTAGAAATTAAATAGGGGTTTAGATAGAGTGGATTGGAGTTTGAGAGCTTGGACCAAGAGGACTTAGGTTTTTATTGTTGACTTTAATCTTTTTAGGAAATTTCCTTCTATTCTAATCTTTTATTGTAATCTAGTTGCTTCAATATGTTACATTGCATAATCTCTGGATTCCATTGTTCTTTGATATCATAATTAGTTAAATCAACTAATTGAGATAAGTCAACTATAATATAATTGTTGATCTTATTGTAATCATTTTCTGACAATTGAACAAATTGTTTATATTCACCACTTGTTATTGTGGATGTTTTGTATATTTATTCATTGCATTGTTTTTATATTTACTGATTATATATATATATATATATATATATATGAAAGATCAAATATTAACCATCATTTTTGTGTTAACTTTGAAAACCCTCTCAACCAATCAAATTTCATTATTCATATAGGTTTATATCTTGTTCATTTTACCCTTACAAGGGTATTCAAGTAAATTGAATTCATTTGTAACCCCCAAACAATTAATGGGGAGTTACAAACAATCAAATCCCAAAAAATATGCATTCATATTATTAATTTTTTTTACTATTGATCTTCCATGTTTATTCTTGTATGAATTCCTAAATCGCATAAGAAACACGGTAGTAACGATTTTCAGTATTGATCAATTTGAACACAAATGAAACGTGAACACAATTTGAACACAAATGAACAACCGTGAACACAAATGAACCGTGAACACAATTTGAACAAATTAACAGATGAACACAAATTAACATATGCTACCTTAATTTTGTGGGACGTCTATTTATGTGAATATATGGGCCAAAAATTGCACATATCGTGTTCATTTGTGTTCATATCGTGTTCACGGTTCATTTGTGTTCAAATTGTGTTCACGGTTCATTTGTGTTCAAATTGTGTTCACGGTTGTTCATTTTTGTTCAAATTGTGTTTACGGTTCATTTGTGTTCAAATTGATCAATACCAAAAATTGTTACTACCGTATTTTTTATGCGATTTAGTAATTCATACAAGAATGAACGTGGAAGATCAATAGAAAAAAATAAATGAATAATATGAATGCATATTTTTTGGGATTTGATTGTTTGTAACTCCCCATTAATTGTTTGGGGGTTACAAATGAATTCAATTTACTAGAATACCCTTGATAAATATATTTTTTCTTCCCAAAATGCCCCTTTCATCATTGTTCACTAGGCTTCATTAAAATTCAAACTTTAAAATTTAATTTTTTTATTGATTAATCTTAACCGTTGATTATAGATTTGGATGACCATGATCAATTAATAAGGTTAACACAAAAATGATGGTTAGCATTTGATCTTGGCCATATATATATATAGGAGCGGTCAAATGAAAACCACTCCAATTTGTAAAAACCGTAAAAACTACTCTCATCCATCGTTAATCTTATGTAATTTTT